TAAAACAAACAAACAAACATCTAAAGGCACAGGAAACAAAAGCAGACACAATGAAGGGGAGCTACACTTGGAAAAAAGAAAGGGCCTGAGTTTGTCTTCATGGCCGGCCCCCATCTTAGAGCACGTGGGTAAGATCTGTGCCCAACCTTCTTGAGTAGCCAGTGGACAGATCTGCGGGCACCCACCGTCAGAAAGTGAAAGCAGCAAGCGTGGAAAGGAGAAATCCACATAAGAGGAGCCCTCAATCACATACCTACATGCCCAGAGCTTACATGTGAACCACCCAGGCAAAGGGCACGCTCCGCATGGCCTGGCTGATGGGAAACGGACAGACAATGCTTCTGTGGTTGCCTGACAGGATGCAGAGTGGGTATGCCAGAACACAACACATCACAACATCCAGGGAAGTATTCAAAGTACTAATCGTACTAACAGGAAAACGTCACCCATACTGAAGAGGAAAGAGACACCAAGACCAACCTCAAGAGGATTAGCTGTTGAAATGGCAGACAAAAATTCTGAAGACAGCTCTCATAACTATGAAGGATACCAAATATACATGTAATAAATAAAAAGACAGGAAATCTCACCAGAAAAATAAGAACAAATATTTTTTAAAAAGCAAACAAAAATGCCACAACCTAAAAACAGAACATCTGACATATACAGGTTGCTGGGTACTCAAAATTGGAGGTGACAGAAGTCACATGAGCCTGAGAACAGATCTGAAGAAGGGGAGACTGCAGAAAAAAGAAGACAGTCACAGGAACCCACAGGACCATATGACAACCCACGCACTGGAGTGCAAAAGCAGAACAGAAAATGTATTTGAGACATTGCCTAAAATGTCCCAAATTTAGTAAAGGACAAAACTTTACAAATTCAAGATGCTGAAGCACAATAAATACAAAGAAAAATCACACCAAGGCACATGATAATCAAACTGCTAAAAGACAAAGAAAAAGCTTTAAAGTGCTAAAAGGAAAAAAAATGTCAACCCCAGAGATCAATATATCCAGCAGAAATACTCTTCAAAAATGAAGGAAAACAGGGGCACCTGGCTAGCTCAGTCCACAGAGTGCTCAACATTCAATGTCAGGGTCACGAGTGCAAGCTCCACGCTGGGGGTAGAGTTTACTTAAAAAAAATAGAATAGCGGGGCGCCTGGGTGGCTCAGTCGTTAAGCATCTGCCTCTGGCTCAGGTCATGGTCCCAGGGTCCTGGGATCGAGCCCCGCATCAGGCTCCCCACTTCTCCCTCTCCCACTCCCCCTGCTTGTGTTCCCTCTCTCACTGTGTATCTCTCTGTCAAATAAATAAATAAAATCTTAAAAAAACAAAAACAAAAAAATAAATAAATAGAATAGGGACACCTGGGTGGCTCAGTCGGTAAGCGTCTGCCTTCGGCTCAGGTCATGATCTCAGGATTCTGGGATCGAGTCCCACATCGGGCTCCCCGCTCAGCGGGGAGTCTGCTTCTCCCTCTCCGTCTGTGCTCTCTCTCTCTCACAAATAAATAAATAAAATCCTTAAAAAAATAAAAATAAGGGGCGCCTGGGTGGCTCAGTCGTTAAGCGTCTGCCTTCAGCTCAGGTCAGATCCTGGGGTCCTGGGATTGAGTCCCACATCGGGCTCCCTGCTCCACGGGAAGCCTGCTTCTCCCTCTCCCACTCCCCCTGCTTGTGTTCCTGCTCTCGCTACCTCTCTCTCTCTCTGTCAAATAAATAAATAAGTCATCTTAAAAATAAATAAAATAAAATAAAAACTTAAAAAAAAAAAAAAAAAACCCTTTAGGGCACCGGGGTGGCTTAGTCGGTTGAGCATCCAGACTCTTGGTTTCAGCTCAGGCTCTGCACTGCGTGTGGAGTTGGCTTAAGGCTCTCTCTCTTCTCGTTCCTCTGCCCCTCCCCCTCCCCCTACTCTCTCCCCTCCTCCCTGCCCCAAAAAGAATGAAGGAAAAGTGGCATTTTCAGAAAAATGAAAATGGAGTAGTCACTCTAGCAGACCTCCACTAACTGTAAGAAACTAATGTGAACTCATCAAGCTGAAGAGACCGCAGAAGAAAACTCTCATCCTCAGAAAGGAAGGAGGAGCACTAGAGATGGTAAATATTGGAGTAAAAGCAAAAGACAATTCAAGTTTCTTCAAAGGCCAAGAAGGGAGAAGCAGAACAATGTATGATGGGGGCATATAGATCAATAGCTATGAAAACATGATAAAGAAGGAGGAAGGGCAGAGGGTACCTGGGCGGCTGAGTCAGTTGAGGTCTGACTCTTGATATAGGCCCAGGTCGTGACTTCAGGGTCATGAGACTGAGTCCCCGCCCCCACCAGGCTCCAAGCTGGGTGTGGAGTCTGCTTAAGATTCTTGCTCTCCCTCTGCCCCTCCCTGTCTGTGCTCTCTCTAAAAAAAAAGAACAATAAAGGGCAGAAAAATGGGCCTTTCTGGCTCCAAGGCTCTTGTATTTTATATGAATTGACACAATATTAACTCTGAGTGGACCATGAAAAGTTATGAATGTACACTGTAATCCCTAGATAAGCCACTAAAAATTAATGCACAGAGGAAACCAAACGGGCCAACAGATAAATTCAGCTAGTCCTCTAAGAGAGGAGGTTAGTATCTCACCCAGAGGGCAGGAAAGCAGAGCAGTCCCGGCACGACAGAGCCAAAGCCGACTGTGGGCGCCCTGCACCCAACGGCAGTGGGCCCACACCACTAGGAAGGCAGAGCCCTTAGAACGGATGAAAGGCACAGCCCAACTACATGCTGTCTATAAGGGACCCCCCTTATAAATACGCAGTCAAGTTGAAAGAAAATGGATGGGAAAAGTGTGCGGAAACAACAGAAATCGGGAGTGACTCCACTAACATCAGGTAAAGCAGACTTAGGACAAAGAATATTCTGAGATAAAAAGGGACATTTCATCATGATTATATACTTCTACTAACAGAGCTCAAAACATAGGAAGCAAAAATTGCCAGAATTAAAGGGAGAAAGTGATAAATCCACCATCGGGGCCCTTAACATCCACCCTCAGCAGTTCACAGAGGTAAAAATAAGAGACTTGAACAGGATCAAAAGTCTGGCTGGAACAAACACACTGACAACACTGCCCAGCAACTGCAAAACAGACTTGGTTTCCAAGTGTATGTGGCCTGCTCATCCTGACACTCTCTGCTCCATTAAAAACAAGTCCCAATAAACTGAAAAGAACTGAAATGCCACAGAATATGTTCTCTGAACATAATGGAATTTAATTATGAATCAGTAATAAGTTGTGTAAGGAAACCTCAGGTACTTGAAAACTAAACATACATCTAAGCAACATATGAATCAAAGAAGTAATCAAAAGGGTATTAAAAATACTTCAAGCTGAATGATAATACAGTTAAAGCCCTGTTTAAAGGGAAATTTATAGCTTTAAGTGCTTCTATTTGAAAAAGAAAGGTCTAAAAGAAAAAGAAAGGTCTCGTTTCCACCTTAAGAAGCTAGAAAATTACGAAGGAAGCAACCCCAAAGCAAGCAGAGAGCAGGAGATAACGTAGGACAGAAATGAACGAAATGCAGGGAGCACATCTGTAAAGGACAACCAATCGGATCTAACTCTGGTGGTTGCCAGAGGGGAGGTTGGAGGGGAATGGGGGAAACAGATAAAGGGGATTAAGTACACTTACTGTGATGAGCACTGAACAATGTATACAAGTGTTAAATAATTATACTGTACACCTGAAACTAATGGAATACTGTATGCTAGTTATACTTTAACAAAAACAAACAAAAAGTCACACAAATTAAAAAAAAAAGGACCACGGACGTACTCTTATCTTGCTACAGTTAATTTAACAGAAGGCCTGGGGCACCTGGGTGGCTCAGTCGTTAGGCGTCTGCTTTCGGCTCAGGTCATGATCCCACAGTCCTGGGATCGAGCCCCCGTATCTGGCTCCCTGCTCTGAGGGAAGCCTGCTTCTCCCTCTCCCACTCCCCCTGCTTGTGCTCTCTCTCTCACTGTGTCTCTCTCTGTCAAATAAATAAATAAATAAAATCTTTAAATAAATAAATAACAAAAGGCTTAACTAGAGTCAAAAGCAGTATTATTTACTCCTTCACTTATGATCATTTCTTTGGTTGCATGTGCTGTAGGTGAGCCTCGTGGGGTCTGTGAGAACTGAGCAGACAGCCACATAAGTAAAATATTAGGACAAGACTTCCTTTTTCAGAAACACTATGGTTGGGGTGCCTGGGTGGCTCAGTTGTTAAGCATCTGCCTTCGGCTCACGTCATGATCCCAGGGTCCTGGGATCGAGCCCTGCGTCGGGCTCCTTGCTCGGCGGGAGGCCTGCTTCTCCCTCTCCCACTCCCCCTGCTTGTGTTCCTGTTCTCGCTATCTCTCTGTCAAATAAATAAATAAAATCTTAAAAAAAGAAACACTATGCTTTTTGTTATGAATAACAAGTGTCATAGGTAAACTAAACTTGGCAAATTAATATACCACCTAACCCTTAAAACTGGCTGTGTTCAAAAGAACAACCTAGAGGACTCTATTCTGTTTCCTTTTCAACAAGAGTGCTAGTGGGTATGAAGTGTATTAAGGGGGCCAGGTTGGATCTGTACACGTACATATGTGTGTATGCATATGTATACATGCACGTGTAGATTAGGAAACCCTCGTGGAAAGGCACTCAAGATACAAGATGGCTTAAAAAAAGGTTGAGATTGAACTATGTTACTATAAAATAAAAAAGGGTGGCTGCCAGCTATGAAGGCAGTGACCTAAGTCCCTGAGATCCTTGAAAACAGGATGCTATGGTGACGTCAATCCAAAGGTTTCTTACGAGTGAAGGCATATCAAAGCCTGTCTTTGATTTCATTTTCAGAATGTTTCTGGCCATTATTACAACCAACTTATTAAATAATTATTGAGAAGAGGTGCGTGTCCAAAGCATATAATGCACGGCAGACAATTATCCCAGCTCTAAAGTTACCGGTGAGAACATGTACCTGTATGTCCGGCCAGTTCGCGGCTCACACGTACATTCCCTTCACGAGTTTTCAGATTGTAAATGGAGCAAATGTTATCCAGGCCACCGCAGGCCACATAGTTCCCAGAAGGGGCATATGCACAGGTCATGACCCATGAGGAACGCAGAGGGATGGCATGGACCTAAATGACAGAACACAGATGATGCAGACACACTCAAGTTCAAAAACATTAATTAAGGACACTATGATTCTATTTCCAGTCTTCAACTTTCATTGCAGAGAAGGTGACACAACAAAACAATGGCCAGAATTATTTTGAAAATAACTTACACATGTGGCCAGTCAGATAAAGTACTAATTTAATAAGAAATCCATCGGGTACCTGCATGGCTTAGCCGATTAGTGGTCTGACTCCTGATCTCAGCTTAAAAAAAAAAACAAAACCCAGTGCTTCACACCAATTTAATCTGCAGTCTTGTTAAGGTCACAATTTATGGTTAGGTATGCACCTAAGTAATAGTTTTAGAGCCTCCTAATCCAGACTATACATTAAAAATAAAACAGTTCACAAACCTGTCACAATGGCTATAAATTGATTTACAAAACAAAATGTTTTTAGTGAAGTAACAAAACTAGACATTGTAATTAATCCTGCCACAGACCTCCCCATGTTTGGGATAGATTTGTTATAAATACTGCAATCTTAGTACTCTCCAGTAAAAATGACTGAGTCTGATCTTTTCCTACGTATGGACCAAGTGATAGCAAGTACTTCCTCATTCAGTACAACCTTGGATTAAGTATTTAAAAGAATTTAATTTATACTTCAAAGTACACTGCCTTTCAGATTATCTCTTGTAAAAACGAATAACTAAATGAAAAGCTGGATTTCTACATTTTTAAATGAATCATGAACTTTCTCAGACTGAACGAACTCTGGAATGCAGGTCTTTCAGAACCATCAAGGAGGGACTTAGCTCCCACCTGCCCTGCAATGAGACCATGGCCCACAGCAGAAGACAGCAGTAGCATGTGCTAGCCATGTGGTTCGGCTTCACACTGAAAACTCACCGTGATTCCCCTCCCTATCCTGTGTGGTATGTTTGTACACAAGTGGACTGGCGGTTAGAAGCCCGCCTCCTCCTGGGTTGGTTTCTCAGGGAGGGGACTCTGCAGTCCTTACCTTGTTTGTTGTGTAGCTATCCCAGATGATCAGTTTGCCATCCTGTGAGGCACTGACTAGAAGCCTGCAGGGAGAGGACAAAAGAAAACTCATCAGTACCACAGCAACAGTACAAACTAAATCTGAGTGACTACAAACACACACTTCAGTGTCACATTTGTTTGAGACAGAGCACACTGACTTATAAAAAAAATTAAAAAGGTCTAATTGTGGGCGCCTGGGTGGCTCAGTGAGTTGAGCGTCTGCCTTCGGCTCAGCTCATGGTCCCAGGGTCCTGGGATCGAGCCCTGCATCGGGCTCCCTGCTCCGCGGGAAGCCTGCTTCCCCCTCTCCCACTCCCCGTTTATGTTCCCTCTCTCACTGTCAAATAAATAAATAAAATCTTAAAAAAAAAAAATAAAAATAAAAAGGTCTAATTGCTAGCTCAACTTTGAAAGCACGAAAGAAAATGCTCCCATAAATAATAGTTCAGATTCAAGAGTGCTTGCCTTCAAATGCAGACTAGATCACCAAAGCCACTCTCTGGTGAGCTAACAGGTTGATTTCTTTCTTTCTTTTTTTTTACATTTTAAAAAGATTTTTATTTAGTTATTTGACAGAGAGAGAGAGAGTGAGCGAGTACACAAGCATGGGGAGCAGCAGAGACCAAGACACAGCAAGAGAGGGAATACAAGCAGGGGGAGTGGGAGAGGAAGAAGCAGGCTCCCCGCTGAGCAGAGAGCCTGACATGGGGCTCGATCCCAGGACCAGGATTATGACTTGAGCCGAAGGTAGACACTTAACAGACTGAGCCACGCAGGCGCCCCAACAGGTTGACTTCTTATGACTGCTTATGTTTGGTTTTTGTTCATTATAAATCAAATTTCAGACATATAGATCTTTTAGAACCAAAGGTGGCAGAAAATATTTAGTATACAACTTTATGTTCCATTTGACATATAGAAAGCTTCGACAGTAAAGAATAATCAGCTTTTAGATATTCCAAATTTATGAGACATTTCTCACCAAAAAAAACAAAGCAAAACAAAAATCATGAAAATTTCCCAGACTGAGCTAAATGTGGAATCCAGGTCTCCTAGAAACATTAAGGAGGGGCTTAACCTCCCACCTGCTTTGCAAAGAGATGACAAACTGCAGCAGAATCGTGTCTTGTCCAGCAGAAGAGACTAGTAACTGTCATGAATTTTCTTCATGATTCTTGCTTTGGGTAACTGCTAAGTTTGGGATCCTGTATTGAAAAGGTGCTCTGTCTGTATTTGCAGAATTAAGACAGGATACTGCAGAAGGAAAGCATGACTAATGGGCAAAGGGACAGAGTAATTCTGGGAACCACAGCTACTTACCCTAAGAACTCTGTGCTACAGAATGTGCTATTTTCAAGCAATGACAAGGAGGCTCTATTCATAATGCTAGGCAGAGATACGCCACAGTATGGTAAATAATGATAGATTAAATTTTTTTCTTTCCTTTTTTTTTTAGGCAGAGCATTCCAGCAATGCCCCCAGGGGTGAGTTCAGATGCTGCACAAGAGCCCAGGGTTTTCCATCTCCCCCAAGGACACGTGTGCAGGGCCAGGCTTTGGATGGCCCTCCTACCGTAGGAGAGGACAGTGGCAGGGTCAGACCTGCGGGAGACTCCGGACTCCCCATGGGCCCAACCGCCCCAATGGAGGGGGACAGGTGACCCCCAAGGGTCTTTAAACCTCTGCACCAGAACACTCTAGGTACCTGGAAACAGGGCGGCTGGTAAGGTGGGGACAGGGCTGCATGGCCACCGCCCCAACACATTTTTAATTTTAAAGATTTTAATCAAGGGGCACGTGGGTGGCTCAGTCGTTGGGCATCTGCCTTCGGCTCAGGTCATGATCCTAGGGTCCTGGGATTGAACCCTGTATCGGGCTCCCTGCTCAGTGGGAAGCCTGCTTCTTCCTCTCCCACTCCCCCTGCTTGTGTTCCCTCTCTTGCTGTGTCTCTCTTGGTCAAATAAATAAATAAAATCTTAAAAAAAAAAAAAAAAAGATTTTAATCAAGCACAGGGATTGACCATTTCAGCCAAAAGCATATTTGACTTACTAACTGATCAAAACCTGGAGGTAAAACTTACTCAAGACATTCTGACAACTGTGATATTTTCCATCAAATTCTATGTTCTGATGCACAAACTTCCTTTACAGGGAGTCAACAATGAGTTTGGCAAAGAACACAAATGTTTTCACTGATGCACTGCAAAACTTATCACAGAATCAAACTAAGTGCAGGTCTAACCTATCATTTTTCAGATGCAGTTTCTTTTTTTTTTTTTAAGATTTTATTTATTTTTTGACAGAGAGACAGACAGTGAGAGAGGGAATGCAAGTAGGGGGAGTGGGAGAGGGAGAAGCAGGCTTCCCGTGGAGCAGGGAGCCCGATGCGGGGCTCGATCCCAGGACCCTGGGATCATGACCTGAGCCGAAGGCAGACGCTTAACGACTGAGCCACCCAGGCGCCCCTCAGATGCAGTTTCTTAAAGCAAAGTCTTGCACCTAGGTTCAGTAACAAACCTATTAGGCACTTAAAGCTATTTCCTTCCACGTAACAGAGTAAGGTTCAGTCTGCTCCTCAATTTCTGGTTGGCCCTTTACACAGGCTTTGAATGAACTATCCAAGCCAACATAAAGAAGCTCATCTTCCATGAGGGTCACCTTTAGGAAAGTCTCCTGGTCAGAGAGCTTAATATCTGCTGACTCGCCCAGGGGTTAGAGAAATGTTAAGCTGTCCGATGATCCCTCAGAAGGTGAGCGAGGACACTTCTTAATCCAAGACAGGACAACTGTTGGAGAACTGAATTAATTTTGCCCCTAGAGCTTTCAGCTATTCACAAGTCAGTTACTATGAGGCACCATCCACCCAGAACACACAGGTAAGAGCCAGCAAGGAAGTGAGGGCTCCAGGAAGCTGGGAACAGAGGTTGAATAGAGGCCCACATCCGAATGCCTCTGGCCCTTCATTTACTTGGAGGAGGGAGGGCTCTCAGGCTTAGCTGGGCCAATTGTGTTTTGCTCTCAATCATAACAAGACTTCAGCAGACTTTAGAAAGGGGAGAAAGAGTTTCACATTAACTCATGTAACTGAAAGAGACTCTCAAATGTTGTAAAAAACAGAATTTAAGTATAAATGAATATATCATGTCGATAAACATAAACGTATACACACGCATACTGCACAAACCTCTTATTGTGGGGCTCTCCTATGGTTTTGAAAAATAAAGTGCTAGTCAGTACAAGAGTTTGAAAGCATCTATAAATTATACAAACATGATAAGATAACTGGTATTCATGAATTACAGCCTTGAATCATGAAAAACAAATATTTTGGACTTTAAAAAGACAAAAATTTACCTATCCAGAAAATATGGCTATCTACAAAAAAATAATATCTGAAAGGCTCTGAATAGCAGAGATCCTCCTTAATATCATTTTTTGTTTTCTTTTGTTTGTGATTATAAAATAGGGCCCCTGTATAAGGACACTGTGAAACGTAACTGTGCAGTTTCAAAAGCAGTTATAAAACAAGTGCCCATGTGCCCACCTTCCCGTCCAAGAAACAGAACAAGACCACAACACCCCCCACCAGCCTCCCAAGTCACCCCTTCTTTAAGGGGTGACCATGACCCTCAATTTGGTGCTACTTATTCATGCCCTTGATTTCCTTCCTTCTGACTCTGAGGCTTTCAAAGCACAACTTGTGTTTGAACCAGATGGAACATAAAGCCTTGCACATAGTGATTGGGAAGCTAGATGATCTGGTGTCGTCCTGCTGAGCCCCAGTCCTCATTTCCACAGCGGCCTGCAGGCTGACCTGGTACTCCCAGTGACCCTTAGGCACAAGGGAGGTGTCACCTATGCCACTCCCCCAACTAGAGCCCGGCTGTTGCAGGAGAGCAAATTGCTTAGGGAGCCAAGACAACGACTGGGCTCCAAGTACCAGATTCCTGAGTACCAGGCTCTGAGCACTAAGCTCCAAGCACTAGACCAAGAACCAGGTTCTGAGTACCAGGCTCCAAGTGCTGGATTCCTGAGTACCAGGTTCTGAGTACAACCCAGCTGCAGTGTCTATCAAGTGTCCTGTCTGGTAAGGACACTGATGTTCCTACAGATGGAGGAAAAGCCCTGGAGGCAATATATCATTTGGTTACCGTCTACTTTTGATAACAAATTCCAAGGTGGACTGATTAGCAAGGGCATTTTTCTTTCTTTCCCCTTTCTTAGTCTTTCTGATTATTGCCATCATTAAAATGATCAAAGTTAGCTCTCATTTGCATTTGAAATTGTACTGAACAGCATATAGAACAAACTAAAGATAGATTCTTTTGTTCTGTAGCTGTTTACACTCTAAAGCAGACAATTTCATGAACAAAGAGAAACCAAGCAATTCCTCTCTGACACACACACAAAATCACGCTACTCCAAGAAAGGCATTTTGAGAATCATACATCAGGTATTTGAAAGAGCATGTTACAGCCACTAAGTCACACAGCATGTTACTTAATTATTCAGGTGGAAAAGGTAGGAGAGACAGATTCTCCAGCAGCCTCTAAAAGAAAGAGAGAGTTGTGTAGATTGCACTCTGGTGATGCTGCAGGTTAAGAGAAGGAGGTGTGGAGAGGGGAGAGGAAGAAAGGACCCATGACGTGATGGAGATGAGCCACCCAGAGGGGAAAGAAGTCCAAATAAGGGGCAGAAGTTAAAGTAAAGCGATGAGCGCCTGAGGGCATTTTCTTGTTGGGACGGTAGATAAAAGGCAGGGCAGCAGCTGAGACATGCACTCCCGCACGTCCGCTGTGGGCTCCTAGAAAACAGCAGCAAACCTGTGCATGCACAACACTCAGGATGCTTTAGTCGCTGCTGTAAGGCTCAACACGCTTAATCTTCCCCACACCACAAGGCAGGTTTATGATCCCTGAGCCAGGACACTGAAATCACAAGAGGGTAGGGGCCAAGGAGTCATGAGGAACAGGCTGGAAAGGCAAGGAGCCATGGCACAGAGAAGCTGTATAAGCTCCCCAAGGTCACACAGGCATGGCACAGTGGGGCTGGGGGGGGGGGGGTCACGGCTGATATAAACACGATGAGGGTGGTGAAGCACTGACAGTGCACCATCAGCCCAGGTGAGTGAAGTACACACAGGGAGTGTGCACTGTCGTGCTACACCTGGCCTGCCCAGGTATCTGCCAACGTCCTCACTCTGTCTTTACAAATAACAGCAAATGAATTCAGGTTATTTCTCCTCAGAAAAACAGAACAATCCTTGAGTGTCTCAAGCACTATGTTTTGCTCATGCTCCCACACACCTGGAATCCGTGCCCCAATGCATGGCATAAATTTTGGCCAAGTGCCCCCTCAGCGTTCTCCTGGTGCGCATCTGGATTCTTCCCACTGGGTCGATGTTGTTTGTGATCTTAAAAACAAAAGTTACTGCAAATTAACAGTCTGTCATGGAATGACTTCCCCTGAGGCCTCCTCTCCCACCCTCCTTCGCAGCCCCACTGCCCTCATTCTGGCTGTGTCCACCCGGTTCCTGCAGCTCTCCACTGTGACTTCTCCTGCTTACCACGGCACCTACCTTCCTTTCATGGTCTGAATGAAGTCTGTCACTCTACTTGCTCTTCAAGACCTCTGTCTCTCCCCCCATAAGAGCACATGGCACCGGTCCACAGGTGCGCTGACCTCCCCAGGTCTCCCTCCCTCCTCTAACTGCTCACCCAGGCCTAGTGCCTCCTGCCTCTCAGTCCTTGCAGGCTTGCTCTCCTTCCAAGTTACAGTCCCATCAGCCCCCGTCACACTGAACACAGGCCTGCTGCTCACACACTGTCCACAGCGACCAGGCTGGGCACTGATCTGGACAACAGTGAGCAGTGACTAGAAATGCTGTTGCTTATCGCACAGAACTGGATGTGCAGACCTGCGGATTCACTCCAACATGTAAAAAACGGACATTAACGACTCTGCGTTGACAACTGGACTAAGGGTATCACAATGTGTTTTTTTTTTAAGATTTTATTTTTAATTAATCTCTACTTAATCCCCAACACAGGGCTCGAATTTATAACCCCAAGATCAAAAGTTGCATGCTCTGCCTACTGAGCTGGCCAGGCACCCCAATAATGGGTCTGAAAAAAGGCACAGTCCAAAGTACACGAAGCATATCTCAGAATTCAAATTTAGGACTTCTATGCAGTGTAAGTTTCTCTTTAACTTGCTGTTTAACCCCAACTAAACCACAGCCCCTAAAGCACTGGGACAATGTAAAACATTTAAACATCCTTGGCAGAAGTATGAATACAGTTTTTCTTCCACAGTTCCGTTCAATTCTACAATGGGAAACTCACCATTTTAGAGTGAACGGTTTGCTGGTGTTTAGCACATGCCCACCTGTGTGCAACTACCACACCACCTCCACCTGCTCCAGCAGCTTTCCCCCCCGTCCCCCCGAGGAGGAAAGCCCCCAGTCATGCCCCACCCTCCCTCCACTCATACCCTCCGTCTCCTTGGAGCTGCCAGTTCTGGACATTTCCGACCTGTGGAACCTTACACTACGCGACCTCGTGCGTCTGCTTCCGACCTGTGGAACCCTACACTACATGACCTCGTATGTCTGCTTCCGATCTGTGGAATCCTACACCACGTGACCTCATACGTCTGCTTCTTTCGCTGGGCATCATGTTTGAGGCTCATCCATGCTGCTAAACACGTTGTAATGCATCCTTTGTTATGGGTGATTAACATTCCGCCGTGTGAATGGACCACACCTCGTGATTCACTCATCCCTTTACAGAAACTGTGCTCGTCCCCACTGTTTGGAAACTGTGAACACTGCCGCTGCTGAGAACACATGTGTACGTGTGCTTGTCTGAGCACCAGTTCTGGGTGTGCATCTAGGAGTAGAACCGATGGTTCATAATTTATGTGCAACTTTTTGAGGATCTGCCCAACTGGACTTTAGAAAGGCTTGTGAGACATCTATCTATCACCCAAAAAAACATGACTTCCTGTGCATTCCGAATGAAATGCTTCAAGCAGTGTTTATACCCTCACTGTGCAAAAGGAAGAGCACAGCTCACTCTCAAGGCAATGAGTGCAGGCGCCGCTGAGAACCAGCCCAATGCCAGGCAAGCGCCTCTGCGTAGAGGGGTCCTTACCTGAGAGAGCGTTGCATCTGCACATGCTTTTCTAGCATCCTAGGAAATAAGAATGACAAAGCGGGAAGTTAGTAACGTTTCACACACATTCGCCCCAGGTCTTCACACCAAAGTTTCGGAGAGCCTCTACAAACGGTGAGAAACAAAGGTAGAAAGGAGGAGGATGGCATCGCCTCCCCCCTCCCCTGGCTCAAACGCAATCTAGGGCCGCCAGAGGTCCTGCGCTCTGTGACCTCAGAAATGGAGCCTGTGTGGGGAGGACCACACTGGAAGCTGCGTGGTCCTGGAGACCCCAGATTCAGGTGCTGCTTCCTCTCCTGCCTGCCGAGGCTCCTGTACTTTGCCACAGACCTTCACGTGCTCCTCGCTCTGTCTTTCTAACAGCCCAGGAGCCATGGGGCCCAGAGAAAGAAGTCCAAAAAGCACTGGATGTCCAGCCCAAAGAACTTTCCCTCCAGATCATGTTAACCAAGGACTTTGTTTTCAAGCCAAATAACACCCGATGCTAAACTCTACGAGCAAAGGATCTGGACTAAAGACAATCAAATTCAGGTAAGACTCTGGCTGCTGTATCTATTATCTGTTTTCTTTCTTTTTTTTTAAAGATTTTATTTATTTATTTATTTGAGAGAGAGAGAGAGAGAGAGAGAGAAACAGCATGAAAGGAGACAGGGTCAGAGGGACAAGCAGGCTCCCCGCCGAGCCGGGAGCCCGATGTGGGACTCGATCCCAGGACTCCGGGATCATGACCTGAGCCGAAGGCAGTCGCTTAACCAACTGAGCCACCCCAGGCGCCCTACTATTATCTGTTTTCTTATCTATAAAATGACCTTGTGAAACAGGTAAGAACTATAAAGTGATATTCTAAGGCTAAAATGTTTTCATTGTTCCTAAGTGAATAAACTTACTAGGAAATATAGAAAATAGAAAGCCATATATTACGAAGGAAAATGAGACAACAGCTTGAAAGGGATAAAAATTTGAGTACAAGAATAATATGGGACACAACCCTCTAGGGGCAAACTGCCTCACTGTGAATTATTTTTATTGCATGAAGCTGGAAGGAATATTTATCAACTGAGAACATGGAAAAATACTCAAAGACATTATTGTTATAAATGTGCCAAAGATCTAGATTTCAAATTCAGCTTTAATTACACTATTAGAAGTCATTCTGCTTGGGGCGCCTGGGTGGCTCAGTCCTTGGGCGTCTGCCTTAGGCTCGGGTCATGATGGGATCGAACCCTGCATTGGGCTCCCTGCCCCACAGGAAGCCTGCTTCTTCCTCTCCCACTCCCCCCACTTGTGTTCCCTCTCTCGCTGTGCTCTCTCTGTCAAATAAATAAAATTTTAAAAAAGTCATTCTGCTTAATTAATTCTACTTAATGGATTAAATAATTAAAACACCAAAAAATTACGTCATCAAGTATTTCTATGCCAGCACCTAAATTTGCCGTAAGGAGCAAGCAGAGGGAAGGTCCAGAGTAGCAAGTGTTTCAACAGGGGATTCTACCTGTCAACTACTGAGTTTAACGTTTATTTCTGAATATCACTCTTTTTTAAAAAAAATTTATTATGTTAATCACCATACGTTACATCATTAAGTTTTAGATGTAGTCTTCCATGATTCATTGTTTGTGCATAACACCCAGTGCTCCATGCAGAATGTGCCCTCCTCAATACCCACCACCAGGCTAACCCATCCTCCCACCCCCCTCCCCTCTAGAACCCTCAGTTTGTTTTTCAGAGTCCATCGTCTCTCATGGTTCGTCTCCCCCTCCGATTTCCCCCCCTTCATTCTTCCCCTCCCGCTACCTTCTTCTTTTTTTTTCTTAACATATATTGCATTATTTGTTTCAGAGGTACAGATCTGTGATTCAAAAGTCTTGCACAATTTACAGCATTCACCATAGCACATACCCTCCCCAATGTCTATCACCCAGCCACCCCATCCCTCCCACCCCCCACCAGTCCAGCAACCCTCAGTTTATTTCCTGAGATTAAGAATTCCTCGTATCAGTGAGGTCATATGATACATGTCTTTCTCTGATTGACTTATTTCGCTCAGCATAACACCCTCCAGTTCCATCCACATCGTTGCAAATGGCAAGATCTCATTCCTTTTGATGGCTGCATAATATTCCATTGTATATATATACCACATCTTCTTTATCCCTGAATATCACTCTTAATGATATTATACACGACTTTTAGTTTTAAAAAAGAACTATGACGGGACGCTTGGGTGGCTCAGGTAGTTGAGCGTCTGCCTTCGGCTCAGGTCATGAGCCCAGGGTCCTGGGATCGAGTCCTGCATCGGGCTCCCTGCTCGGCGGGGATCCTGCTTCTCCCTCTACCTCTCGCTCCCCCTGCTTGTGCGCTCCCTCTTTCTCTGACAAAAGAAATAAATAAAAATCTTTATTTAAAAAAAATGAGAATATTTTAAGTGGAAAAATAAGCCATGGGAGTTCAGCAACTTTGCCTTGATTACTGTACGAAGATCAACCTGGATTTTCACACTGTATCATACAATAGACTGTGGTGAAACTATTGGTAAATGGAGGGAAAAGCCATTTTAAAAACTAAACACAGAGAACTCCAATTCAGTCTCCATTCTAACCTACAAGTGCTTATATCACTGAGTGCAGCACTTCTCAGAACAAGCAGAGATAAGTCTTCTAATGGAAGCAATCTCTGTAACTGCTTCATAAAGACAAATCTCTACTATCTTTCAGATTAATTTCCAATTGAATGGACTGATGAAAATGTGCATAATGGGTATATTACTTAGTGCAAAGGCTTCCATGCTGCTGTGATGAGAAATGCCACCTCTTTTGTCCCTTTAAACTAGAGTACATCCAAACCAGTGATCACTCAGTTCCCCACACAGCGAGGTTTCTTCCTACTTGGGCCCCAGGGAAAGCACCTACTCTGCTCAGTCGCTGGACAGCAACACTTGGCTGAGTCTTCTCACTTGCTTGGGTTGGTACAGTTGCGTTGTAAATAATTTGCACCTGTACATTCCGAGTTTTTCCTTAATCCATCAATTAGCTCATGTACTTTAAGACATGCCATTGTGGTTTTTTTTCTCTTTTGAAAACAAGGTAAAAAGTATATTTTTTAAAAAATTTTTTATTATGTTATGTTAATCACCATATACATCATTAGTTTTAGATGTAGCGTTCCATGATTCATTGTTTGCGTGTAACACCCAGTGCTCCATGCAGAACGTGCCCTCTTTAATACCCAGGCTAACCCATCCCCCCACCCCCCTCCCCTCTAGAACCCTCAATTTGTTTCTCAGAGTCCATCGTCTCTCATGATTCGTCTAAGACATGCCATTGTTTGATCAGCATCCCTTTGAGAGCCCGTGTTTCCTCACAATCTAAAGTGGGATGGGGCGCCAGGGTGGCTCAGTTGTTAAGTGTCTGCCTTCAGCTCAGGTCATGATCTCAGGGTCCTGAGATCGAGTCCTACATCGGGTTCCCCACTCGGCGGGAAGCCTGCTTCTCCCTCTCCCTCTGCCTCTGCTTGTGTTCCCTCTCTCACTGTGTCTCTCTCTGTCAAATAAATAAATAAAATCTTTAAAAAATAAAAAATAAAAAAAATAAAGTGGGATGAGGGCTGCCTGGGTGCCTCAGTCAACTGTTAAGTGACAGACTCTTGATCTCAGCTCAAGTCTTGATCTCAGGGTTTTGAGTTCAAGCCCTGCATTGGGCTCCAAGCTGGGCGTACGCCTACAGGCATGCATGCATGCATAATGGGATGAGATGGTCCTTGGGGTCTTTCAGCATGAAAACAAATCTAAGAAAGCAAGGCCTCTTAGAATCACCTACCACTGCTTGTTTGATTCCCTATGCCCTGCATTCTTTAACAAGCATGTATTCCTTGGGTAGTCAGAAAGAAAAGGGTATTTTTTCTTTTTGAAAGAATGTCTTCCCTTCCTGTTTGGTGTAATGGACTTTGCCATCCATCCCTGTGCTGTACAAAGAAACCAGCACAGACTTAGCCCTGAGACCAGTGTGGGAGCTCTGAGCACATGAAGCGCAGCCGAGACAAACTGAGACCTGTCATTCAATGTAGGACATGCCGAATTCTTGAGACTTAGTATAGAAAAGGAACGTGAAATAATAAAAATACCTATTTTAAAATTTTTTATTTTTAAAAGATTTTATTTTGGGGACATCTAGTTGGCTCAGGCGGTTAAGCGTCTGCCTTTGGCTCAGGTCTTGATCTTAGGGTCCTGGGATCAAGTCCCGAGTCAGGCTCCCTGCTCAGTGGGGAGTCTGCTTCTCCCTCTGCCCGTCCCCACTGCTTGTGCGCACGCACACCTCTCTCTTAAACAAAATCTTAAAAAAAAAAATAGGTAAAATAAAAAAAAAAAAAAAGAAAAAAAATTTTTTTTAAATGCGAGAGAGAGCACGAGAGAGAGAGAGAGAAAATGAGAGAGAGCATGGGGGAGGGGGGAGGCAGAGGGAGAGGCAAGAGCAAACTCCCAACTGAGCAGGGAGCCCAACCAATGTGGGGCTTGACCTCAGGACCATGACCTGAGCTGAAGGCAGATGCTTAACCGACTGAGCCACCCAGGCACCCCAAAAGATTTTATTTTTAAGTAATCTCTACACCCAATGTAGGGCTCGAACTTACAACCCTGAGATCAAGAGTTGCATGCTCTCCTGACTGAGCCAGCCAGATGCCCCAAATATCTATTTTTTTAAAGTATCTATTTTTTAAAAAAGATTTTATTTATTTGAGAGAGAGAGCGAGCGCAAGAGCTTGAGCAGGGGGAAGGGGCAGAGGGAGAGGGAGAAGCAGACTCCCCGATGAGCAGGGAGCCTGACTCAGGGCTGGATTCCAGGGCCCAGAGATCATGACCTGAGCTGAAACGTTACATACAAGTACTTATTCCTGTTCTCACACCATTGATTAGAAGACTGCGACAAGGAGGGTTGGACTCCTGGAAAACCCATCCTCAGGACGTTGAGGCAGATTCATGTCCACTTGATGAAGGGGCTTCTCAAGGCCCAGCTGTCCTCAGAACATCATTTTTTAATATGTGTCTAAACATCAGTTTATTTTTCTGAGTCTACTATAAGATGCTTAACTGGGCCAGCCAGGCACCCCTAAAAGTATCTATTAATTTTATGTTGAAATGACAATATTTTAGATACAGTGGTTTAGACAAAGTCTGTTAAAAATTGATTTCAGGGGCACTTGGGTGGCTCAGTCGTTAAGCATCTGCCTTCGGCTCAGGTCATGGTCCCAGGGTCCTGGGATCAAGCCCCACATCGGGCTCCAGCCCCGCATCGGGCTCCCTGCTAGGCAAGAAGCCTGCTTCTCCCTCTCCCACTCCCCCTGCTTGTGTTCCTGCTCTCGCTGTCTCACTGTCTGTCAGATAAATAAATAAAATCTAAAAAAACCAAAAAACGATTGCACATGTTTCTTTTCACACTTTTATTTTTTTAATTTTTTAAACTGACTGAGCCACCCAGGCGTCCCCATACAGACTTTCTTTATCTGCTATGAACAGATCTGAACTCACTATGAACAACAACTTCTAAACAATAATTTATAGCTATGAGAAAAACAAAATTCTGAATTCTATATTCTGGAAGATGGACAGACAATATTAAATAAGTCTGATCAGAGCAAACTATTAAAAGCACCAAGTCCTCCTTATTTTTATTGGGCTATATCTGATCTTTGTTTTGTTAAGATTTTATTTATTCATCTGAGACAGAGAGATAGAGAGCATGAGCGTAAGCATGGGAAGAGGGAGAGGGGAGGGGGAGAAGCAGAACCCCCACTGAGCCGGGAGCCTGACATGGGGGGCTCGGTCACCGGGAGATCATGACCTGAGCTGAAGGCAGACACTTAATCATCTGAGATACCCAGGCACCCCATATATCCGATCTTTTAAATGCTAGGATTTGAAATTTGAAAGATACTTTGTTTCCTCTTGGCTGTAGATCTTTAAAAATTCCATTATCTTTTCTTAAGCTTAAGAAAAAAAGTTGGCAGGGCGCCTGGGTGGCTCAGTCCTTAAGCGTCTACCTTCGGCTCAGGTCATGATCCCAGGGTACTGGGATCGAGCCCCACATCGGGCTCCCTGCTCGGCAGGAAGCCTGCTCTCCCTCTCCCACTCCCCCTGCTTGTGTTCCCTCTCTCGCTGTGTCTCTCTCTGCCAAATAAATAAATAAAAATCTTAAAAAAAAAAAAGAAAGTTGGCTACCAGGATGCTGATGCTTCTTTCCCTAATCACCACCAGGCTTTCTGAACACAGAGCTGGTCATCTGAAAGGGATTTGGCTCCATCCTTATAGTAGACTCAGAAAAATAAACTGATGTTTAGACACATATTAAAAAATGATGTTCTGAGGACAGCTGGGCCTTGAGAAGCCCCTTCATCAAGTGGACATGAATCTGCCTCAACGTCCTGAGGATGGGTTTTCCAGGAGTCCAACCCTCCTTGTCGCAGTCTTCTAATCAATGGTGTGAGAACAGGAATAAGTACTTGTATGTAACGTTTCTCTAGAAAATGTTCATTACAAGTACTGTCTCACAAATGCGAGGAGCACGGAATTCACGTCTTCAGACCCCTCCCAGTCCCCTTTTCGGAAGCGCATGGGCTCTGCGGTGGGACAGGCTGGGATTTAAGGCTGTAGGACTCTGGGGGCTACTCACTGTACAGGGTGGCTGGGTGACACATGGTTGTGTTCATCTCCAGCTACATGTGCCTGCTCTCGTTTAGCAGCCTAGCAAAACTGCAGATGCCAGTATCCATCCCAGGACCCTTCTCGAGGACACCTTGGGCACAGCTGAGACACTTCCCACTGCCGTCACTAACTCTTGTTTCACACAAGTTTCCTTGCCCTCAGCAGTCACAAGGGAGGAAAGCAGACACCACGCTCTGCACAGTGACCAGGAGAATGTCATGAACGGGGCGGGGCGGGGGGTGGGGGGGGTCGAATGAATTCCCAAGGTTAAGAAAAAATGTACAGAGAGACATTTATAAATGCTATGAAAACAGTTTTGTACATTCAAATAATGATATACTGGAAAACAAAACCCTGAAAACCATGTGCTAGGCCAAATACCTGGCTCTAATTAGCATATCTTGTGCCAGCAAAAATTTAGTTTCAATCCAAAACACTGAGTAGTCATTCTGAAACCCACCTTTCCCAAAACAGATAAGATCTTACCTGAAATCCAAATGATTTATAAACTAAACTAAGCACACATGTAGCTACATACCCTAATTTGGTTTTTAAGCTGCTCGGCCTCCTGCCGTAACTGGTCAAGTTCACTCATCTTCGGGTCCTAGTGCTCTTCAATGCTACCTCAAGGAATCTCAGATCTGAAACAGAAATATAAGCATAGAAAAATTAATAAACAACAGTTGAGTAACTTAATGAAGCAGGTGAGAAAAGGAAATTATAATTTTGAGAGCTATGATTTTGTTACAGGTCAGAGCACTTTCCTTCAGCGTTCACCAAAACTTCTAAAGTGCCTACCAAGGGCTGATTAATAAAATATAATTACTACTATCCACTAGCTTTTACAATGACACTGTCCAGTAGACCACTCAAAAGATGGTGGTGAGTTGAAAAAGGAACAATCTGTTAAGCAGCATTTTTCAAGAAGGATCTGAGTCTCACTCTAAACCCAAGAACATAAGACTGACGTTAGAAGAGGTCTCACACAGAAACCGAGGGGGAGTCTGTTCAGGAAAAGAGCAGAGTGGCAACCTGACAACCCAGATCCTCAACACCACATCCACGAACTTGAACCCATGACCGCCCCCCGCCCCTGATGATGTCAGAATGTTTACACAGCAATTCTGAAAGCCCTCAGTGTGGTGTCCAGCAGGCCTCTGGTTCACGGACATCTCACTCTCCCAACAAAATGGGCTCTGGGGCCCCAGTAAACAGAAGCAGTAACTCCACCCTTACAGGCACCTCAGTACAAGCAGCCCTGCCACCCACTCTTAACTGTGCCCTACCCCAGTCTCGTTAGGGATTCCTTACATCAGACTCCAAACAAAATCACCCTGGTATAATAGAGACTTATTTTCCCAAGGGAATGTCATAACTGGGGTTGCATTTCTGACCAAGAACATGACTGTTTTATCAGTCATAATTATGACCAATGTATCACAAAGCTGAAGATATAATTACCAACATCTCTTAATCGCTTAAGCCTACAATGAGCTCCCACATGCAAATATGGCTTATCAGAGGGCCTCAACATCCTATGCAAACACACACTGGAGATTTTATGCAAAAATGACAGAGTTAATATTATATACATCAGATACTTAATTAACAATATTTTTTTTTCTTTTATTTATTTGAGAGAGAGAATGAGAGACAGAGAGCACGAGAGGGAGGAGGGTCAGAGGGAGAAGCAGACTCCCCGCCGAGCAGGGAGCCCGATGCGGGACTCGATCCAGGGACTCCAGGATCATGACCTGAGCCGAAGGCAGTCGCTTAACCAACTGAGCCACCCAGGCGCCCCAACAGTAGTTATTTTCTTGAGATTGAAACATATCTGGGGGAAATTGGAGGACGCAGGAAGCGTATGTTAGAGTTCCCAGTCTAGATAAACTTCCCTATTCTGCACAAAAGCATTTAAAATAAATTTACATGGTTTACATTACAGAAACTTGATGTATACTGACTGATGAAAACAAAAATATCTTTCCCAATAAGGAATAGCTTTAAAAAGTGTGAGTTCTTAGTTCTTGCTTTCAGCTGTGCTATCTATTCACAGCTACAAAAACGGGCCAGGCGGGAGGCAGAGGGATGAAGGGGGTGCCTGCTGGACCTCCAGAAAGCAGTCTAGAGTTGCTACGACTGACCTTCCATGAAAGTCTGCAGAACCACCAGGACAGGCCTCACAGGGCCGGGACGGGATGTGGAGGCGCCTCTGGGAAGGCGATACACGGTGACACAGTTTCAGAAATATTTCAGACCAAAATGGCTGCTTCTAAAGGCACTGCTTTAAGTGGCTGCTGGAAGCACGTAGAAAGCTTCGAAGGCTACTTCAAGGCTCCCTGGTCAGTGCAGGCGGGGCTACCCTCGCAGCCACTGCAGCCCTGTGACACCACTGCCTAGTGCTCTCTCCAGGCTCCACGTACAAACTCTTCAGAACTGCAATTCACGAACATTAACGCATGCAACAGGAACGGTGCCAAGAGAACAGGAGATAATGTTTACAACAGAAAGCTGTGATGATGTGTCCTCCGAGTTTGTGGACTGCTTCGTGTTCTTTCTGCCACCGGGACATCCTACCACCACTCACATGCATTTATATGTGATCACATTACACCTTATACACAATTATGCAGTTAGCGGTAGTCTTATTCCAGCAACACCACCCAACCCCCCATGTTAGAGAATTGCTCTTAGTCTGTAAAGAAGCCGTATTATTCAATCCTTCCAAAATCAATGCTGAAGAAAAATAACAGCTAATGGTTGTCATGGGGTGAACTGAATTGTTAGTTTTATAAATAAATAAAATCTTAAAAAAAGGGGAGGGAGCCTGGGTGGCTCAGCCAGTTAAGCATCCAACTGCTGGTATCAGCTCAGGTCATGATCTTGGGGTCTTGAGATTAAGCCCCATGTTGGGCTCTGTGCTCAGTGGGTAGTCTGAGATTCTCTCTCGCTCTGCTTCTGTCCTGCCCCCCACTCGCATGCATGCTCTCCCTCTCTAAAATAAATCAATAAAATCTTAAATGGTTGGGACGCCTGGGTGGCTCAGTCAGTTAAATGTCTGCCTTTGGCTCGGGTCATGACCCCGGGGTCCTGGGATCAAGTCCCGCAAGTCCCACATTGGGCTCCTTGCTCAGCGGGGAGCCTGCTTCTCCCACTGCCTGCAGCTCCCCCTACTTGTGCTCTCTCTCCCTGACAAATAGAATCTTAAAAAAAAAAACAAAACTTAAATTGTTAGTTTTAGTCAACAAACATTAACTTCTGCTTATAATTTAAACACTAAAAGGTTAAGGTAATTTTTTTAAAAAAAGATTTTGTTTATGGGGCGCCTGGGTGGCTCAGTCATTAAGTGTCTGCCTTCGGCTCAGGTCCTGATCCTGGGGTCCTGGGATCGAGCCCCACATCGGGCTCCCTGCTCGGCGGGAAGCCTGCTTCTCCCTTTCCCGCTCCCCCTGCTTGTGTTCCCTCTCTCTCTGTGTCTCTCTCTGTCAAATAAATAAAATCTTAAAAAAAATTATTTATTTATTTATTTATTTTGAGAGAGCGAACAAGCGCATGGGGGAGGAGGAGGGAGGCAGAAGGAGAGGGAGAAGCAGTCTCCCGGCTGAGCAGGGAGCCCGATGCGGGGCTCAATCCCAGGACCCTGAGATCATGACCTGAGCTGAAGGCAGACATTTAACTGACTGAGCCACCCAGGTGCCCCCCAAAGTGTCTTTAAAATGAGAAGATCCATTTAATTCACTTACCCCACAGAATTTCAAAAGCAATAATATCAATACTTGCTGACTTGAATCTTTAGTCACAAGCAAAGAGAACAAAACCAGATCTATTTCTTTTTCATCAGTAAATAGCATAAATTATTAATGCTGCTTTTATTTTTTCTTAAAGATTTTATTTATTTGACAGAGAGAGCACAAGTAGGCAGAGCGGCAGAGGGAGAGAGAGAAGCAGGTTCCCCGCTGAGCAGGGAGCCCGACGCGGAGCTTCATCCCAGGACCCTGGGATCGTGACCTGAGCCGAAGGCAGACGCTTAACTGACTGAGCCACCCAGGCGCCCCAATGCTGCTTTTAATTACAGATCCCTCTATAGTCAGTGTCCGCATCTGAGTCTCAACAGAGAGACTCAAAATCCACATTTGTTCATTTTTAAAAGAGGTATTCCTGTGGCTACTAGCAATAATAATCATGTCCTGTAAGACCTATTTAATTTATATCTATAAAGATAAGTCTATTTAATCTTTATTTAGCTATAAAGAGTAACCTACGGTTAAGCATTCAAATTTTTTTTAAATTACATTCTCTATTCTCCATGTCAAAGGTGTATTTTCTGAAATCAAATCAGGACAAGAAGTTTTTTTTATAGATGGACAGACTTAATGATGAAGGGGCACTCAGGGTCTCTAGCACACTGGCCTTACTGTCCCTGAGTAGGCACTGTCCAGGACCACCTTGATGAGATGTGGGTGCACACCCTTTGCTCGAAGCTAATGGACACTGATATGGCGCCACAGCCTGAGCGTGGAGGGGTCGGATAAGACCACTGTCACAGAAAACCAGGTAGTCAATAGTCACCCAAAGAGAAACTGGCAGACAGCAAGGAGCATGCACACTCAAATAGAGTGGAACTAAGAGGAAGCAAAAAACTTTCTAATTCCCATAAATTAAAAGTTCACCCCAAATGCTCTTCTATGAGGATACAGTAAATGAAATAAACAAGGTACAGAATAGTGTATGAACGATGATGTGTTTCTCTTTGTGTACATAAAAAGGACAAACATCTATGTTAACATAAGCAATGCTTTTTCTGTGCACGTGAGAAAATGTTAATAGTGGTTGTTTTCAGAGAATGACAGGAATAGTGGGGCAGCTTTTATTTTTCACACTATCTTTTATACATGTACATATCTTTTCTTTTTAAAAAAATATTAACAGGTTATCTGGGCCCTGAAACCAAAGAGCATTCACATTGTTTTGTCCATAATTTTTGGTTTTAAAAACAAAATGTTAACTTTTAACTGGAAGAACTATTACATATCGCTAAGAACAATAATGAAGATGGAATAAACACTTGGAAAAATGCCTGATGTATATTAAATCAAAAACAAAGTTGTGTAATAATTTTAGCTATTTTTTTAAAAGATTTTATTTATTTATTAGAGAGAGAGAGAGCACAAGCAGGGGAAGAGGGAGAAGCCAGTTCCCCGTGGAGCAGGGAGCGTGATGCGGGGCTCGATCCCAGGACCCTGGGATCATGACCTGAGCCAAAGGCAGGCGCTTAACTGATTGAGCCACCCAGGTGCCCCTAATTTTAGCTATTTTAGATGATTAAAAAATATATTTTAGTTTAAAAAAGACATTTAACAAGACTAATAGCATTTTGTTAGAATTTTTGGTCATATTTCCCTCTTCATTTTCCAAACACTGATAATGTAGTTTGTTACTTTGATTTAAAAAAAAAAGTACACTTTAAAAGTCTTACTTACATGCAATCACTTTGCTTTTCTCTTCACTATCCTTAGTTCCCCAAAGCCTTCTGAAAACCCCACCATCAGGTTTCCGTGGCCTGGGTTCCTTCTCTTCTCCCGTTGCTAAAGTCAAGGCTAAGCTCTGGCCATGCTGACTCAGTGCATTCACCCATCTAATC